CCCGCCGCTTTAGCGAGCCTACTTTTCGACCCTCCGGAGCCCCAAATCATTGGAAAAACACAGTGTTTCGCGACTTTCCTACCTTTTCGCGCATCTGCATCTTCTTTCTTCTTACTCTTTCTCTTCTCTGATCTTCTCTCTTCTAATCTTTCTCTTCTCTCTGCCTCTGCCCAGCTCTGCTTTTCATCTGTCCATACTGTCGGAAGTTTGACTTCTAAACTTCCTTCGATAAAAATAGCTTGCCGAGAAACTGACCGTCCTGTGGAGATCCTAAAGAATCAAAAGAGGGCTTGAGCTGATGGTGGCTTCTTTCATATTCTGAATTCTGTCGGTGACCGACGCATCATCAGAATCATCAGCTTTCTTGCTCTTTTCTGGGCCTCTTGTTTCTGACATGCTCCAGCCACCAATTTCAAGGTCACATCAGCCTGTTTTGAGCATTCTGGAATCATACTTCCTATATTTCCTATTTACTCTGCTTTTTCTCATCGATATGGGCTTATGTTACAAGATCTTAAAGCTGCGCAAACTTGCTTCCGCCTGCGGACGTCCGATCAGGCGGAAGCAAAGATGGTGAGTTCGTGCATCGTCGTTCGTGGGGGAACCCAGGTGGCCATCAACGGGCATCAATGGCCATGAATAGCCTAATTTGGTGCCTCTCAAAAAAGGGGGCAACTGGGCGGATCTAACTGTTCTTCCATGTTCCCTGAGGCAAAACCAGCTGATCCCTCAGCATGGCTACTATTCGCCTGATGCCTCAGCTTAACGATGAAGATGTCAGTGAAACAAACCCAGTTGTAGCTGGGAGATGAAGGACTAGGAGATTCTAAGCTGATACATTTTGTTGGAAAATGCTAAGGGCATTTCACTGCTAAGCAACTTTTGAGCCAGGACCAACCAGGCTCACAATCTCAATGAGTCTGGTGTTGCAGATTGGCTGAGCCCCAAATCCCAACCGAGGTCTTCCTGCTTCACACGTTTCCCAGAAGATACGTGACTTGACACGCAGGATTGCGGCATTCGGATCTGGCCAAGCGCTGTCCTACGTGTCCGCCATTCGAGTTTGTCCAATGGGCGGAGACCCCCGAATCCAGAGGTTAATCATTTAGTTAATTTTTCTAGTCACACATGAAATTGCATTTTTTTTTTGGTTATATACATGTGTATACGGATATATACGGATATATACGGATATATACGGATATATACGGATATATACGGATATATACGGTATACCAGCTTTTACAGACACACAGCTATTCCAATTCTGGCAAGGTTTGGGAAGAAACGCTACGTCCTCAAGAAACCCGACGACCCTGTGGAGTCTATCGCACGGGTGGAGATGAATGTGCCCCATTGGGATCTGGGGCGACTTGGGACGAGCATTGTAGCGAAACACTGCAACGGACATCCAAGATATCCAAGTCAGCTGCGTCGATCATTCTGATGAAATATATATATTAATTGTATATATATATATATATGTATGTATATATATATATGTATATATATGTATGTATCGTGGGTCGTCATCGGTATGCCCGGTGAAGTGTTTAGACTCTCTCAGATCAGGAAAGCAGGTTTCCTTTCAGTGGGATTTCGGGATTCAATCCCTGCTGGTTGTCTGGAAACAGCTTGATATATGATGATATACACAGTGAAGAAAGGGTACTCGGCTACTCTAAACGACCAAGTGCTGCCCAGAACATCTCAATACATGTCTATTTGCAGCATCATTCTGCCAACAATGTTTGATATAATTCCAGAAACTATTCAGATCAGAAGAGCTGGGAATTTCAAAGTGGTTTATGGCGTTCTGCCGTCAGCTACAGTGGCAGGTGCGCTTGAAGCATGTTCTGCCTCTGATGCGCTACACCAGCGATTTCAAGGTTCCAAGACGCATGACGTGGAGACATGGAGAGACATTGGCTGGTTGCAATATGTCGCAATCTAATCTAATCTAGTTTATATTTGTATGGGATTATATGGGGAAGGACGACATAGGACGACCAAGGAGGTTTCTGGCTGTTTCTGGCTGTTTAGATTGTCAGACTTGTCAGACAGCGCAGTTTTGGTCGAGACTGTGCAATGGTGTCGATCTTGTTGCCCGGGAGTTCATTTTCTGAAATCATGTCTACATGAAAACTACGTGAAATATTCATATATTTCAATGGTTTTTTCGTTTACATCACGTATTTTACATCACATTTTTTTGCGGAGTTGCAATGTTCAGAACAATTTCGCCAAGCTTACACCAAGCGATCCGATTCGGACTCCCTGTGAATCCAATCGATCCATGTCCGTGAATCGAATTCCATCTCCATCGAAAAGAAACTGAAGAAACCAACGCATTCATAGTTTTTGGGTGAAGTAGAACAGAACACCGGAATGTCTTCTATATTTCTATGAGTACAGGTTCAGATTGAAGGTGTTTAACCAGTTTCTTCATCATTTTTGGCCCGTCATGATCATAGGTTTGCAACATGATGTTGCACAATGTTGCCAGTTTTCATGTCTCAGAATGGTTTTCAAATCCCCATTTCTGCCATGATCTTCACATGGTCAGTGTAATGTAATTCTACCTATTCAAGTAATGTATCATATATCTGGAATTTCAGATTTTTTTTTAGGCCTTATTTCATCTTATTTATTTCAGCCATTTTCAATTTAGTGAATCCCCCACGAAGTAGCGACTGGTTCATCTGGTTCACCGAAAAAATCCATGGTAGCCTGAGTTGCCAGGCCTGCGTGCCCATCAATAGTCTCGAGTTGCCTTTGAGGCCTGTTTTTATAGGTGGTTGACTGATGGGTTGACTGATGACGACTGGTGGATTTCCATGGATTTCAAGATGGCTGAAACTTTGAGAATGGGGGATCCCCACGAAAAAAACAAAAAAGCATTCTAATGGGGAAAGAATGATGAGACATCATCAAATTGAGGCGTAGCCGGCGTAGCCCATTTTCGATCAAACCCATACCTCATCATATCTAACTTACGGGTGTGGGTCATTTTTTCAGCACCTCTTCGAACGCTTCAGAAAAAATGATTGTAAATGAATGTAACCGACCCATCTACGAAGTCAATACTGTTCATATTAGGTATGGTCACTACAGTAGAAATTGGGCCCATTTCATGCAGAATAGGGCCACCTTTCTGTCCCGAGGTCTTCCTGCTACTCTACTAACTTCCCAATGGAACTTCTACCTACGGTCTTCATGCTACTCACAGAACGTCCAACTACTCTCTTCCTGCTCCGCTACTAAGTTCTTCACATAACTTCTAGCTACGCGCTTCATGCAACGCTACAAACTTCCTGACATTCATTGCTGAACAAACTTCTTCGTGCAAGTACGTCTTCCTGCTACGCTACGAACTTCCTGGACATAACTTCCGTCTACGCATTTCCTGCTACACGGTCTGCATTGAATAATTTTCCCAATCGTTTGTCTTCTCAGAGCCGTGTTCGCTGCTCTATTGCCTTGGCAATGGAGATATGTCAACCTCCATGCCAGCTTGAAGACAAACCATCGAGGCCTTGAAGCGTATCCTCTGAAAATATGCTATAATATGCTCATTGTCGTACAGCTGAAGCGACCGATGAATGGACCCCAGTTTTGGCACAACTTTATGTCCAGGAATTCGCGTTTAGCCATGGTGAGAACCTTTGTTTGCAAAAAACGACGTGCATTTATGAGCATGGTTTCTGGTCTGCTGGGATATTTGTCTCAAAGTTGCGCTTTTGCTAACCGGCACACTTTTTTCTTTGCTGTGTATCTCTGTATCATTTACAGCTCGCTACGGCTTTTTGGGGACGGAATCACGCAGCTTTTGACCGAAAGGTCGAACTTGCAAATCATCCTGAAGGAATCCGGGAATGGTGAGGCCTCTGCTATCGAACTATCGAGTCATTTCTTAAGGACTGGTGATGACTGGTGGACTTTACAGCGAACGAATATCAAAAAAGAACTTTCTTTCCAAAAGGTGCCAGAAATTGTTCGTGGTTTTCCAACATCCAGGTTCTGCTAGGAGGGAAGCAGGCTGAAGCAGTTTCGCCATCGCTTGGGATTCTTCACATTTCTTCACTGGAATGTCCATGATATGTAAGTTGTAAGTTGATGTAAGTTATCTCAGAGCGTCAACTGTCCAATAGGTCAGTTCTTCATAGCGGTGAAGCTGGCGCCATGCAACAGGATCCCCAAGAAACCTTTGAACACATTATTCGCTGAGTTGATATCCGGCCAGCCATGATTTCTCCATATTTTTTTCCATATTTTTATATACCCACTGGTAAACTAACATAGCTATTGAAAATGGCCATAGAAATAGTGAGTTTTCCCATTAAAAATGGTGATTTTCAATAGCTATGTTAAATTACCAGAGGGTATTTGTCCATTTTCAATTATCATTCCTCACATGTCATTGGCCGCTCGACCCATGTGGCCAGCAATTCAACTACACCGTGGACCGCTTGACGAATCTGATCAGTGCGCCAAGTGAATTCTTCGCACATGCAGAACAACACCCAATGTAAGCTAGTAGCAAATATATATAGAATTTTATCAGTCTCCACACATTGCACTAGCCCGACGGAGAACAGCTGCTTCAGACATCTTTCCCATGTCAATGGATTTTGGATGATCTTTCTTTAAATGAAATACATGTCCGACAGGTCCGTGCAAGAGCCTTCCAAACGAAAAATGCGGTATGACAATCAGCTGAGAAGTTTCGTGAAGCTTTATCAAGAGTGAGAGCTGGATTCCACAGTAGAGAAAGTTTTTCTTTCCACAAGAATGTGGTTTTGGAATTCTTGAAGGCTAATGAATCCAGCTGCCAGGAGGATCTGGCAATATTTTGAATCTGAAAGAAGATGACGAGAGAGGCAAAATTATGCAAAATTCAGTCTTGTGAACTTGCAAGCGTTTTCATGGCTTGAATGGTGGGGAAAAGAAGCCAGATGTGAAAAGACATGTAGCAATCCAATTGTAATATACTTATTCAAACAGCGGCAGACTCTAAACGAAACAAATTTGCACTAGTCACTGATGGAGTTGTTAAAATTTTCGACCTGGGATGTGCAACAATGTTTGATCCATCAAAGTATTTCTGGGTTGAACATGGTCGAATGTTTGTGCTGGTGGTTTCAATTGGTTCTTGCTTTCAACCTCCGATTTGAAAATCTTGATTTCAATTAGTTCTTGCTTTCAATTATGTTATTCCCAACCCATATTTCAACGAACCGCATGAATTTTAGCCAATACGCTCTTTTACAAGGTGAAAGGTTGGACACCATTTCCATCTCCAAGATTGACACTCATGACACGGGACGTGGGACATCCGTTAAAATTGGGGACGAAAATCGAATTGGTCGCTATCCCTTCAGCTGCAACTGAGGAGCAAAACAGGCATCGCAATATGGAGGTTTCCTGAGTCATGGGGGTATCCCTAAATCATCCATGTCAGATTGGAATTTTCCCTCAAAAAAGCCATCCAGCAATGGGGGTACCCCCATGACTATGGAGTTTCCTTGCGAGGTATTGGAGTTTTGGCGTCCAAACCACCAGGACCTATTTGTGCCTTGGTTACTTCTGGCAGCAGAAATCCAGGCGTGGAATGGTACTTTCCAAGAGTTTTTTGTGGTTAAAACAATAGTACACCATCCCCCAAATCACCATAAATAGGTGGTATATGGTGGTATAAACCATTCCCAAATGGATAGTTCATGATTGTTTTAACATGTTTTAACCACATTGTACGAAAAAAGATGGTATTTCTGTACACTAAAATCATCTAAAATCATCAAGCACCGGAATGATTCTTCTGACAATTGTTGAGGGAACGATGCAAACACTTCAAATACTGATTTATGGTTGGGTTTGTTGGGGTTGCTGAAGGGATGTTGGTTCACTACTCAGGGATTTTGCAGAGTTCCTCATGTTCAACATGCCTCAGTACACATGTTTCAACTTCTTTCTGATGGTGTAGCTTAAAATACCAAGAATTGCAATAGCAGGGAAATGAGATGAGTTGAATTTGGGGTTGCTCTACCAAAAAAAAAACCGACTCTGCCCACAAAAACCACCCATCACTAGATGATCTTGAAAAAGCTCCACAGGGATGAGTTGGGACATCAGTACCAGCCCCGCCTGTTGCATGTGTGACGGAACCTGGGGGTCCCAGGGGCCCCAGGGGGCCCCCAGGGGCCCCAGATGATACCCACCCCTCCCCATTTTTCTGTTTGTCCACCTTGATTCCTTGATGCATTCTATCAATTTTTATCTATGTTATCCATTTTATCTAGTCTTTTCCAAGACTTTTTTAGAATTGTGCAAGATCACTCGCCAACTCCTACAAGATTTCAACTCAGGTGCTGTCACGCTGTTGCTGCTGCAGTTGGCCGGGGCCATGCGGGGTCCAATGGGAAGACCAATTTCAAACAGCATCCCTCGTCTGTCACTGTTTGAAAATGGGGTAGACTGATAAAACAGCAGTTTTAATGGGGACAATTATGATCGATCATTAAAAAATGTGATGCTCTATTTGCAGAGAAACCCAAATCTAGAAGAAACAGCGGGGCTGGGAACGATGCAGATGTTGCTCACTTTCCCTCGCTGTTCTCTTGCAACTAGACTGCGGCGTCATGGCCTTTGAGCTGTTGATGACATATTCTGGTTGGTGGTTTGGAACATTTTTTATTTTTCCATATATTGGGAATGTCATCATCCCAACTGACTTTCGCATATTTTTCAGAGGGGTGGCTGAACCACCAACTAGTGATACAATGCAAACATCCATGAATCCATGGATATCCATGGCATTTCATTAGTCGCTCCCTGGGCCCATCCATTGCCTTATCCCTATGCTTCCGCCCCAAAATCTGGAGAACTTCTCGGTCAAGGGGGCTTGATCATGAGAAATTTCGATGGATTGGTTTAAGGAAAATTCTGCAGGAATCCTGTTTTTTCCTCCCCTGAAATATATGAGATATGTTTTTCCCCAACAGCAGAATGCTTTGGGGTCTCAGCCCACATAGCCTTCGGGGTGCTCCGGGGCACTGCTCGACCCTGCCGCCTCGTTTCGCCGGTTCCGGGAACCAGGGTTCCGAGAACCGGTTCCGGGAACCAGGGTTCGGGGCAAGGTTCCGGGAACCCAGGGTTCCGGGAACCAGGGTTCGGGGCAAGGTTCCAGGAACCCAAGGTTCCGCAAACCAGACTTTCAAGCAAGGTTCTGGGAACAATGGGTTCTGGCTACCTTTTGGGTTCCGGGACGTCAAGGTTCCGGGAAGGTTCCGGGCACACTTGGCTTTCGACAAGGTTCCGGGAACCTTACCATGGTTTCGAACAGCCAGAGCCTGGATTGTGCCAAAGTTCTGGAATCACCGGAACACCAATTTTGAGACATCCTGCAAACCCAGAGTTTGGGGAACCAGGATTCTGGCAAGGTTCCAGCAACACTGGGTTCCGACAAGGTTCCGAGAACCACCACAGATGCGGACCCACAGTTTGGATATACTTCCTGGATTATGCCACAGGTTCCGGACAGGGACAAGGTCAGAGTTCTGGCAAGGTTCCGAGGTTCCGGAAACAACCCAGGGGTCGGATATACGCCGTGGGTTGTACCAAGGTTCATGCTACGGACAGGGTCCCAGAAAACCAATTTGCAAGGAAACCAAGGTTCCAGGACCAAAAGGGCCCGGTCAACGGGCAATCGCTGACGGGGGGGGACAGCGTGACAATAAATCAGCGCGTCTCGGTTCCGGAAACCCAGGGTTCCAATATACGCTGTGGGTTGCGCCAAGGTTCCGGAAACGAGGGTTCCAGGAAGACAAGGTTCCAGGGACACAAGGTTCCAGGAACACAAGGGATTCCGGAAATCCCCCAGCCAATCTTGGGTGCTTTGTGGCCCCTCACTGAATTCCGAATTCATGTTCGTTTGCTCAGTGGGCGCACAGCGTCGGTCGACTGACCTGTTCTGATGTTGCTGTAAAATCTTCTGTTTGAACTGTTCCGATGTCGCATCTACCAAAGCACATGCCACATCAAGCAACTAAGTTCGATGCCTTGGAACACCTAAATATTGGCAGCAAACCTGTGTGAGGCTTCTCGAAGCCAGGTAGATGATTTTTTAAAAGCTAAGTGACCAAACAGCAACACACAATGAAACTTCAGACACAGTTGTGACACAACAACCAAGTATTGACATGAAACTAATTCTGGAATCATGATGGACAATTTGGCCAAAACCAACTGTTTCACCAATCACTTGCGCAAACTGACCGACGTTGTCCAAGCACGACAAGATAATCCCAAACCAACACACACACACACAATTTTGTAAACACTTAATGACACACCGTGGTCTGCAAATACTGCCATTCGTTTGTAACCAAATGTATGTAAATTCAACTACGCGCGCTTTCTTAAAGAACATGTCTCATCCTGCCTTTGGTCCAAAAGGGGAGGGGGCAAGGCGGGCAAAAAATCGCCGAAGAGACTTAGGCTATGGAATCCTGTTCCTGCCATCATTAATCCGTCTTGGGTTGCAAAGTTGGACCACTGTTTGAAACCAACCGCTGCCGGTTCCGGGAACCAGGGTTCCGGGCAAGGTTCCGGAACTCATGATTCCGGGAACCAGGGTTCGGGGCAAGGTTCCAGGTTCCGCAAACCAGACTTTCAAGCAAGGTTCTGGGAACAATGGGTTCTGGCTACCTTTTGGGTTCCGGGACGTCAAGGTTCCGGGATCCCCAGGTTCTCGGCGCCAGGAAGGTTCCGGGCACACTTGGCTTTCGACAAGGTTCCGGGAACCTTACCATGGTTTCGAGCGGTTCTGGAATCACCGGAACACCAATTTTGAAACATCCTGGAAACCCAGAGTTTGGGGAACGAGGGTTCCGGCAAGGTTCCAGCAACACTGGGTTCCGACAAGGTTCCGAGAACCACCGCGGATGCGGACCCACAGTTTGGATATACTTCCTGGATTATGCCACAGGTTCCGGACAGGGACAAGGCTGCGGAACAACAATTTTCAAGAAGCCCAGCCCAGGTTCCAGAGAACCAGGGTTCTGGCAAGGTTCCGAGGTTCCGGAAACAACCCAGGGGTCGGATATACGCCGTGGGTTGTACCAAGGTTCATGCTACGGACAGGGTCCCAGAAAAACAATTTGCAAGGAAACCAAGGTTCCAGGACCATATAGGCCCTGTCAACGAGCAATCGCTGACAGGGGGGGGCACAGCGTGACAATAAATCAGCGCGTCTCGGTTCCGGAAACCCAGGGTTCCAATATACGCTGTGGGTTGTGCCAAGGTTCCGGAAACGAGGGTTCCAGGAAGACAAGGTTCCAGGAACACAAGGGATTCCGGAAATCCCCCAGCCAATCTTGGGTGCTTTGTGGCGGGTTCCGCACATGCCGATTCATGTTCGTTTGCTCAGTGGGCGCACAGCGTCGGTCGACTGACCTGTTCTGATGTTGCTGTAAAATCTTCTGTTTGAACTGTTCCGATGTCGCATCTACCAAAGCGCATGCCACATCAAGCAATTAAGTTCGATGCCTTGGAACACCTAAATATTGGCAGCAAACCTGTGTGAGGCTTCTCGAAGCCAGGTAGATGATTTTTTTTAAAGCTAAGTGACCAAACAGCAACACACAATGAAACTTCAGACACAGTTGTGACACAACAACCAAGTATTGACATGAAACTAATTCTGGAATCATGATGGACAATTTGGCCAAAACCAACTGTTTCACCAATCACTTGCGCAAACTGACCGACGTTGTCCAAGCACGACAAGATAATCCCAAACCAACACACACACAATTTTGTAAACACTTAATGACACACCGTGGTCTGCAAATACTGCCATTCGCTTGTAACCAAATGTCTGTAAATTCAATTATGCGCGCTTTCTTAAAGAACATGTCTCATCTTGCCTTTGGTCCAAAAGGGGACGGGGCAGGGCGGGCAAAAAATCGCCGAAGAGACTTAGGCTATGGAATCCTGTTCCTGCCATCATTAATCCGTCTTGGGTTGCAAAGTTGGACCACTGTTTGAAACCAACCGCTGTTGGGGATCTACGTGGGCTTATTTTTTCCCTTTAAGGCATCCTTAGGCCAATTCTGGGAGCCGTTGAAAACTTGGAAGATTGAATGCCATGGAGCGAATAGCCTTTGGTAAACCATCTTTTCCAAGAATGCATCCAAAAACTAGCGTCTACACATGTCTAGACACTCAATGCCAAACTCGTTATATAAGTAAAGTGATGCCAGATATCCTTTGATATTCTCAACGTGGCAACTGAGTGCAACTGACTTCAACTGGTTGAGTGAGTTTTTTGTGAACCTTTGGAGAGTAAATGAAGAAATTCAGCAACCATCCCTGACCCTGTTACAAAAAAAACTAGCTCCAAACAGCTCTTTCCTAGCCACTGGATAGGTTATATATAGTCATATCCCATTATATCGCCTTTATCTCCCAGTAACATCACCATTTTGCTTGGTGATATCCCATTTTTTTCGTCCTTTTGCAAGTCTTTTCCTCAAGGTCAACTTTGCCAATCGCTTCTGGACCAACAAAGTCAGTGCGGAACAAGTGGCGAAAAGGTTAGAGCAGGAAGGCCAGGGTGGAACCGTCGATTGGGGCTACCCCGTGTCTGGCCGTTGATGGTTTATTTCATGGAAAATCCGGGATTAAAAAAGCGGATGATGTTTTTGGGGTACCCACATTTGAGGAAACTTCCCAATTTCCTGTTTTGATCTGTTTTGAGGATTTGTGAAACACATCACTTGCAAAAGTACTATTGGAAATCTGTTGGATTGAACACGATTAAACGGATTGAGAATTACGATTGGAGCGTCTTGGATCTTCAGATGATCTTCAACAACCCAGAGACAGTATGTATTCATTGCCTAGATACTGTGGTTTTGCTCGTTTTGATTCGCTGTTCTTTCTACCCAAGGATGGTTGCATATACATAATAAGCAACTGATATTTATGTACAAGCAGAGTCAAGCAAACAGGCACAGTGGACAGGCATTACGTCATTACGTTGCACTACGTGAGGTTGTGTCGCCATCATCGACCTCATCGTCCATTTCATTCCTACATTGCGTTCCATTACATTTCATTCCAATATGCATTGCAGGCAGCTAGCTACTAGATGTTACTAGTACATTCCGCTGCTACCTACCCACCCACCAATACAGCACTACTGCACTACTTTACTACCTGTCTACCGACACGCCTACCTATGCACCTAGATACTGTACCTATATGCGTTCGTACCAAACGCGTTATTCGTCTGTCGGTCCGTATGTCCGTCCGTCTGTCGGCCTCTCCGTCCATCCGTTGATAGATGGATAGATAGTTAGACAGAGAGATGGAGAACCTTGCATTGCTTTGCATTAAGTTGCGTTGGATTGCATTGCGTTTACATTGCGTTGCAGCATATTACATTGCATTGCATACATATGCACGTGCGTACATTGCACGGCAGAGCATTGCATTCCATCACATTGAGTCGCATTGCATTACATCATAGTACATTAGGCAACATGCGCATAATACGTGTACATGACATGAAGACGCACACATAGATACATAGATTATTACATACAGTCGGCTTTTTTTACACCCTCATGATGTTCCGTGCCAGATAACGCACCTGATCCGGAGCCGGAACAAGACGCGCCGGAGAAAGAACCACTGCCTGGAAACCCAGCCTTTGTTTGTTTGATTTTCGCGGGTTTTAGATGGTTTTAGTGGGATTCAGAAGGCTTGCCGATACCTGTGAAGATACTTGGGGGGATCTTGGGAGAATGTAAGCCCAAAGGGGCTATGATACTGAAGGTTTGGCATGGATGTGCTATTTGGATCTACTTGGCACACTGGTAGACTTCTTGGAACTCAGATTTCATGTCAGCACGTTGTACCACACTTCAAATGGCCATTGGCTTCATGAACAAAACCTTCAATTGCCTGGGCTCTAGCGAAACGGATGCGAAACGCTTCCCCAAAGTCAATGATGTTTATCTCAGGTTCCCATAGGTTCCCATAGGTTCCCAAGAGGTGTGATTCTGAAGCCATGGGGGTGGGGACCAAAGATTTGGTCACCAGTGGTGGTCACCGACTCGTTTTTTTTGTGCCGAAAGTGGCGATGTGAACTGAGTTGCCCTCCGGTAATGACTAACATAGCTATTGAACATGGACCATTTATAGTTGATTTACCTATTAAAGATGATGATTTTCCATAGCTATGTTAGTTTACCAGAGGGTATTTGATGTTGTCTGCACACAAAGTGAGTTGACTATGTTGACTTTCGGGGATGCTTCACGCAGGCGACCGAGGTCTCACAACTGTTTTAGATCCAAAGGAGAAACGGCGATCCAAATAGCGTTGTGACCCAACTGTTGGTGTTCTCGATTTACGAACCTCCCATACTTCTGGGGTTTCCGTACATGGGGGATCGTCAAAATGGATGTTTTTTTTGAGGGAAAATCCGATCAAATTGGATGATTTAGGGGTATCCCCACTTAAGGAAACCTCCATATTCAGCTGCAGTTCTAGTGGAATTTGCCCGTCAATATCCCATGAGAACTGCAGCTCCGTGCGTCGCAGGACTGGTGGCGGAAAGATCGGGAGCCCTGGGTTTTATCGTCTGGCAGGGTGGTGTTGACAGGGACCTGCAACAATTGGAAGGATGGAGCATGGAATTGTATTTACATATACATAAATATAAATATCATATAGACACATGATATAAAATATGATTAAACACATACATGATATATAAGATATTATATATAGATTAATATATAACTATATATATATAACTATATATATAACTATATATATATATATATTACATATATATATTAATCGAAGGAAGTTTAGAAGTCAAACTTCCGACAATATGGACGGATGAAAAGCAGAGATGGGAAGAGTCAGAGAAGAGAAGAGAAGAAGAAAGAAGATCAAAGAAGAGAAAGTCTCAGAAGACAGAAGATCCAGGTGCGCGAAAAGGTAGGAAAGTCGCGAAACTCTGTGTTTTTCCAGTGATTTGTGGCTCCGGAGGGCTGAAAAGTAGGCTCGCTAAAGCAGCGGGTGCGGAGCCAGCTGGCCAGATGAGAGATGAAAAGTTGCACGCCGTTGTGGCGCAAAGCACATTTCCAAGTCAAAACGCACAAAGCACACCATTCTCGGACCACTTTTGGAAGTTGAGATGTCGCAAAAGTGCACGCTGTTCTGGCGCGAAGCACATTTCGAAGTGAAAATGTACAAAGCACGCCATGTTCGGACCACTTGTCGAAGTTGAGATGTCGAAAAAGTGCCCACCGTTGTGGAGCGAAGCACATGTCCAAGTCAAAATGTACAAAGCACACCAGCTCCGGACCACTTTTGGAAGTTGAGATGTCGAAAAAGTGCACGCCGTTGTGGCGCGAAGCACGGTCAAAAGTGAGCAAAACGTGAGGGTTTTGTAGCAGTTTCGACTACAACCACCACAACACTACACTACACTACGCTCCACTACACTACAACTACAACTACAACTACAACTACGACTACGACTACGACTACGACTACGACTACGACTACGACTATGACTATGACTACGACTACGACTACGACTGCGACTACGACTACGACTACGTACAACTATACAACTACAACTACAACTACAACTACAAGTACAATACATTGCATTACAATTTGTTACACTCCACTACACTCCGCTCCACCCCATTCCACTCCACTCCACTCCACTCCACTCCACTCCACTCCACTACACCCAACTACACTACACTACACTAAGCACAGCTACAACTACAACTACGCTAAACTACACTAATTACACTACACTCCACTCCACTCCACTTCACTACACTTCACTGAACTACAACTACAATTGCAACTACAACTACCACCGCAACTACCACTACACTACGCTACAGTACAGTACAGTACAGTACAGTACACGACGCGACACGACACCACACCACACCACGCTACACTACACTACACTACACTAGACTAGACTAGACTACACTACACTACACTAGTTGCATTACACTACGCTACACTACACTACGCTACGCTACGCTACGCTACACCACACGACACCACACCACACGACACCACACCACACTACACTACACTACATTGCACCACTCTACACTACAACTACAGCTACAACTACAACTACGCTACTCTACACTACACTGCACTAGACTACTTTATACTACCCTACATGTCATTACGCTACAGCCATTATACCACCACAATTGCAACTGCAACTACACTACACTATTTACACTACACCACAACTACAACTCCACTACACTACAACTACAACTACAGCTGCGCTACACCACACTACATCCTGCAGTTGTGGGTGAGGGGTCCGACCAGGTGACCACTGCAACCATTGTAACCACTCCAAAAAACACAACACCAACCACCTTTCAGTCCATCAGTGGATTCGCTCTGCCATCCGTGATTCACAACAACCAACCTCTGCTAAAGGTTTTCTATTTTTGAAACTTCCGCCACCCCCTTGTCTTGTGCGGCACTACTCGTAACTCATTTGTTATTTGTAGTTGTGGAGGCCATTCCGAGGAGTAAACTGGCCTTCGGGTATCCGTGCTTAGCAGTACCTGATTGCGGACCATGACATGGAGAATTCTTTAAAGCAGAGGGTGTTCCATGCTCTATCCCCACCTTCAAGGCCTTTGAAGGTGCGATGCCAGTGCGTCGAAACTTTGTATCTATCCGAGGGTAAAGAAAACCAAAGACCAGCTTTTTGTTTAAGGACGTTTCAGGCGGTACCAGGAAACAGAAAATTCTGGCATGGTCAAACCTGTCAAGTTTTGCTATACAGCTTTGGTGACAGAAATGGAGGACATATTCATAGCGTATTCGGGACACATGCATTTTTTTTGGCGTATCATGCAACCATATCCAACCATACAGCTTTGTATTGTGGGATCATCATGTACAAAACATGTTGAGTCAGTTTGTTCACTTTCTCCCAGAGAAAAGAGACCCTGCCAGATGCAGATTTTACGATTTCACCACCGAACTCGCCAGGGGTAGCTGATCTTTGGGTGATGTAACCAGCTCAGGAAAAAGAAGAAGTTGTCGCCCATGAAACAACGAATTCAGCTGGGCAGCTCAAGATCTTCAGCAAAGAAAACAGTGAGAAAACCCATTGAGGCATATTGAGGCTCTTCAAGAGGTGAAAGATGTCGGGTGGGGTGTGTGCCCACTAGCAAGGCAAATCGTTGGTGTCATGCACAGCACATTGTTCATGCATTTTGATTGGAATGGCAGATGGTCTGATCTCATGCGAATTGAATAGAATCCATGGGAACTTCGCACGAGTCAAACACATCTAGAAGGTCTTGGCACTGTTCTCTTCACTCAGGACATTGGTACTAGAAAGCGTCGTAGACACCACCTGAGTTTATTCCCTGGGGCCAGGGCCATCTGTGAAATTGAATTCCTAAAAGGCAACGCCTTTTAACTGGTTGTGTTGGCCTAGGAAAAAGCGAGAGAAGATGGCAAACAAGACCTTGGTGGATTCCTTCTTGGAGGCCCTGCGTTCCCACATGTTCCACTCGTTCCAGGGTGTTCGTCGGTTAGTCTTGGTTGGGCGGAGTGAAACATAGGGATATTGCGGACGTTACCGATGTTAATGGGTTTAAAATGGTTTAAGTTGTGGTTTCTTTTCTTTTCTTGGTTGCTTTCAGTGGACAAAGATATGGAACTAAGATACAATGTAAATCAGTTGCTGATATTCAATCCAAACAGATGAGACAGTATGTCAATCATCGGGTCAACGTTAGAATCGCTATAAAATTGCTTTTGGCTGTAGTAGACTGGGATACACTGAGTCATGCCTTTCACTGTGTTCGATTGTGAGAAATGATGGACGTTGGGACGTCTCGTATTTCTTGGACTGTTTCGTTGTGGTGTATTCTCAGCATGCTTTTGAATGCACAGTCCTGACGATCGACTCAGTCGACATCGAATTCATTCCCTTTGCAGACTTGGTTCCCTGTATTGATGGTATTGAGAGAACCACATCCAGGTTTTCAGCAACACACAAACTCTGGAATCACTAGGAGTTTCCCATTCTGAAAGCTGTTGTTATTAACAACAAGCCGTGGGTGGAAAGTGAAGCGAACTTTGTCACGGCAAACGAGAGCAGTGTTCGAGACCATTGGTTGATGATAGGGGTTTCCATAGTCATGGTGGTACCCCCATAGCTGGAGAGTTAAATTTCATGGAAACTCCCCCATTGAAATGGATGATGATTTGGGGGTACCCCCATGACTCAGGAAGCCTCCATATTTTCCTAAGATTTTGGGGATGAATCATGATGAATCACAATGAAAATGGGGAATCTCGGAAAACCAACTCAGGTTGTTCTTTGGTCTTCCTGAGGTGGAAGTCTTCAAGATGTTCCTGCAGAGCTTGGTGTTTCTTGGGCTCCTGGATGGGATGAATGGGATGTGGTTACTACAACTGGCTGTTTTAAGGTATGTAACTTGCTTGGAGTAGAGGCACCCAAGTCCATCATGTTTTCATATGTGTTCATATGTGTTCATATATATAATTATATATATGGAGGTGTCCTGAAATGGGGGTCCCCCAAATGGATGATTTATAATGGACATTCCCACTAAAATGGATGATTTGGGGGTACCCCATGACTTAAGAAACCTCCATATATTGTTCATATGTTTTTCAGCATTTCCCATAACTTCTTAGCACCGTCTTTTGAGAGGAATGGATAGAAATCCGTGAGAATTGCGACCTGCAATCAGCAGCATGCCTGCATTCATTGATAGTTTAGCTGCGCTATGTACATAGACACATGCACAATGATATCATATATTGGATATGTATATGGTTTTTGTTCATTGTCTCTATTATGCTTATGCAAACAAATCTTGTGTATCATTATTCCATATATTTGTTGTCCATGTGTTTCTTCATAGAATCATGATACATTTGCATCTTCTTCCCGGGCTGCCCGGGCTGCCGTTCGTTGTGTCCAGGTTGTTCCTGCTGGCGGGTGGACAGTTCGGTTGGATGCCCGGGCCAATCTGCGCTCTCATGTTGGGAACCTCAGCCCGATGATTCAATGGATGAGGTACCCATGGGTAGCCCTATTTCAGGAACCCATCTGTATATTATGTATATACCCTGATGTATCTATATATACATATATAAGAATGGCTTCTAATGTGTTCTTTTTTTGATTTAGGTTGATCTACAGATATATCTATATATCTGATATAGATATACCTACCTGGAACCCATATTAATATCCGATGTCACTGGTGAGAAAACTGGGATATTTCTGATATTTTAATCTCACTTGCCACTTCGCCTGGGATGTGTTTGGAAAAAGTCGACAGCGGCACGTTTGGTGTGGAATCCTTCAGAACCTTCGATTGATCCAAAGTATCTAAAGGTTGAAATTTTGGGCTTCGCTTTTGAAGGTTATCTTTTTAATAGAAGGACGGACACAAACACACAAGATGACATTTTGCAGATGGTTGTCTATGACAGTGCACACGGTGCACAGCTGGTGACTTCGGTGCCCAAACTTTGGCCCAGGTGCATTTTGGTTTGTGTCTTCACAATGATCTTCATGAACGTGAGCACTTTCCGCAAGGTGCGTGTAAAACGCATAGAAACACACCTTAATGACCCTCTGGTTATTTACCATAGCCATGGAAAATGGCCCATTTATAGATGATTTTCCCATTAAAACCAGATGGTAATCATGATTCCAAGCAGTTTACAAGAGCAAAAAACGGTGCACACGCGTCCGATTCCACGTACGTCTGAGTCCACCGAACACATTCCTTCAGACGTACTAAGTTGCAGTCGATTGACTGGTGCGATTGATGACAGTGTCTGTTTTACCCGAAAAAATGCAGATAATGCAGATCTGGACATGTTTGCATAGTGCCCTAGATTGAGAAAAAACCGATTGCCTGAAGAACTATGCAAAGGCTTCTGCTGGTAAGTTTCCACATAACTTACCATCAGTCCAGATTGGATACCCGGCAATGTATGTACCTTGAAGCTCTTTACAACATAAACGAGACGCTCATCATAATCTAATTGTGGACCTGCTGTGGTACAGAGACTCGCACCCAGTGATTTTGGCCTTCCACTTATCACTCTTTTTTGGTACTTGGTATATCTTGACATTACTTGATCAGTGTTCAAAACCCCTGTTGGTTGATGATTAGGATGATTAGTTCGGGGATTATACTACGTACCCTTTATCTATTGGGGATAATAATACCCTCCAGTAAACGTTTACATAGCTATTGAACATGGCCCAGTCGAAATAGTTGATTTACCCATTGTTTCAATGGTGGATCTTGCCATAGTTCTCTGGATGTTTACCAGGCCGGGTAAATCCCATTAAATCCCATGAAACCACCATAAAACACCATAAAACCACCATAAAACCACCATAAAACCACCATAAAACACCATAAAACCACCATAAAACACCATAAAACCACCATAAAACACAATAAAACCACCATAAAACCACCATAAAACCACAATAAAACCACCATAAAACACCATAAAACCACCATAAAACACAATAAAACCACCATAAAACACAATAAAACCACCATAAAACCACCGTAAAACCACCATAAAACCACCATAAAACCACCATAAAACACTATAAAACCACCATAAAACACAATAAAACCACCATAAAACACAATAAAACCACCATAAAACCACCATAAAACCACCATAAAACACCATAAAACCACCATAAAACACAATAAAACCACCATAAAACCACCGTAAAACCACCATAAAACCACCATAAAACACCATAAAACCACCATAATCTATAATGATCTTCACCAACCGATCTGAAAGAAACAATAACACCCACGCAGATTCAGGAGATGAACAAGCAGATCGATAGCATTTCGCAGTCGGTCACAGAGATGTACCGCATGTACAGGCCATGTTGGCCAAGTGGTCGCTGTTGAGCAGTGCTGAAAAGTTAGTCGCCTCTGGTAATGACTCACAGTGACTAACATAGCTATTGAAAATGGCCCATAGAAATAGTTGATGATAGTTGATTTACCGTTCTTGAAGACGGTGATTTTCCAGTTCGCTTTTTGGATGTTGACCAGAGGGTATTCATAGCGCTTTGTTTTTTGGGGAGCCATTGCAACTGCAGTCTGCAATCTTCAGTAATAAACCATGGCAATCGAAAATCACTCAATTTAGTTCGCTGATTTTCTAAAACTTACATTTAGTTTGTGGATTTCCAAGCTAGCCATGGTTGATTAGCTTTTAAGGTACATTCTGTTGGGTCATCCAAGCACAGCCTTGTTACAAAAGTTACCACTTGCATCAAAATTGTGCACAGCTGGCGGCACTTCTGGTGTCCATTGGCACAGCATGGCACAGCACCCTTGGTATGAAGGTATACTGAAGAAATCTATAGATGACAAGGAATGGTATGGAATGGTATGGAATGGTATGGAATGGTGTGGAATGGTTGACCTCAAGTTATGCCGCCAGCGTCAAGTCGCCAGGGGCTACGAAAATTCCGTCCGCACTTGGCTCGGTGGCGAAAACTTCTTGGGCGTAACGTCCGGGACTTGGTTCCCCTGCATTTTTTTTTCTGATGCTATGAATACGTACTATCTATTTTTTGATATCCGGATACCAATTTTCACCTTCATGGACTTCATGCCAATCTTTGCCCATATGGAGGTTTCCTAAAATGGTACCCCAAATCATCCATGTTCACAGGATGTCCAAAATCTTTTTGTCACCCACAAAAAATTCGAGTATCAAATCAGATCAAATCAGTATCCATTGACTCCATCGTCAAATCCATCCTGATAGATCCAAGGTTCATCAACTTTGACGGCGCTCATGCCAGCGACTTGGAGAATGTTGCAGCAACTCGGCGATGGGACTGATGGAACTGATGTTGTGGATGTCCAGGGTTCCAAGTATATAGACAAAAATAGATGACTAATGAATATTAATGATCATTATAAATATAAACCATTATAGATCACATCATTAAGTATACATATATATATACACACTGTATATCACATATAGATAAGGATAAAACTATTACGAACTAGTAAAAATGTATGTATGTTCTCAGTATATGTATACATGTGATATCTATATCCCGAAAAAAAAAAACTATCCCGGCAAGAGACCCCTTAAACAGTGTGCTTAAGGACATTTTTAGGGTAAAGTCTTCTGGGAGGAGAGTTCCAGAAGAGGAGACATGAATCCAGTGGGGTTTTCAGGTGTGGTCACGGAACGGAGCTATGCAGCAAGATCTATGTACCCTCTGGTAAACTAACATAGCTATGGAAAATCACCATTTCTAATGGGAAAACTCACTATAAATGGCCATTTTCAATAGCTATGTTAAATTACCAGAGGGTAAGAGACCTTTTGGCAAGATCTCTGCAACATCTCTCTATGCAATGTCTCTGTACAAGATCTCTATAAGAGGTCTCTTGGCAAGACACAAAAAAAGAGATCTCTCTATTTCAGAAATCAAAAAACAAGATCTCTGTCAGGGACCTCAAAGTAAGGTCTCTGTTCAAGCTCCCTATAAACGATCTCTGAGCAAGATCGCTGCTCTCTTCACCAGGTCTCTGTACAAAATCTCCATCAGAGGCCTCCTGACAAGGTCTCTGTACAAGATCCCTATAAGAGCTCTCTCTGCCCAGATCTCTTTAAAGAGGTCTCTTGGCAAGACCTCTGGACAAGATATCTATAAGATTCTATAAGAGATATCTCGGCAAGATCTCTTTATGAGATCTCTGTACAAGCTCTCTATAAAAGCTTTCTTGGCAAGATTTATGTAAGAGACCGCTTGGCAAGATCTCTGTAAGGGATCTCTTAGCAAGATCTCTTAACAAGATATCCATAAGAGGTCTCTTAGCAAGATCTCTGTATAAGCTCCCTCTAAGAGGTCCTTTGGCAAGATTCTGTATGAGATGTCTCGTTTTGTGCGAGCCTGCGCGGTCGAAATGCACATGAACATTTCACTAAGAGCAATTTTGTGTGGAAATTTACATGAAAAGTGCCGGACGCTAATCCCGCGACACCCGTTTGTGCGAGCCTGCATTATCGAAAATGCACATGGACTTTTCACAAGAGCTATTTTGTTTCGAAATTTACAGGAAAAATGGCTGCGGACACCTCCGGGGACATCGTTTTGTGCGAGCCTGCGCAGTCGGAATGCACATGGACATGTCACAAGAGGCATTTTGTGGGGAAATTTACAGGGAAAATGCCGCTCGCGTTGCCCACGGCTATCGTTTTGTGCGAGCCTCCGCAGTCGAAATGCACATGGACATGTCACAAGAGGCATTTTGTGCGGCTCGCGTTGCCCACGGCTATCGTTTTGTGCGAGCCTGCGCAGTCGAAATGCACATGGACATGTCACAAGAGGCATTTTGTGCGGCTCGCGTCGCCCACGGCTATCGTTTTGTGCGAGCCTGCGCAGTCGAAATGCACATGGACATCTCACAGGAGCCATTCTGTATGGAAATTTACAGGGAATTGGCCGGACACGGATGATGCCAACCTCGATTGAACACCGGGCCTTAACTGTTACCGTGAGAACCCCTCAGTGTGGGCACACTAATTGGGGAAAAAAATGGAATCCCGCCGACGCTGCCAGGATGTGAACTTTGTGGTGCCTGAACTGGGATTGCGCCTCACAGTGCGGCCCCTGGTGTTCATCACATCCAGTTAAAGAGCTGGATGTAAAGCTGGGACTGGATGGATGATAATGAATTGAATGTTCATGTGTGCAAATGATGTAAATGCTCATTTATGAATGAACGTACCATGGATGTACATGAATGTTCATCACCCCGATTTTTTGATAAAAACTAGTTTGAAGGCGTTTGAAAGTATGGTTTCTTTATGGCATCAAATTGTAGCCGATTGGGATGCGTGAGGTGTACTCTCGGTCCAGTCTCGAATCCAGAGTGTCCTATATGATATGATGCATATTAATTTGTATGGCTAGTCCATAGGTCATTCAATTCGATTGTGTTTGCAGTACTCAGTACTCCCAGATGTAGTCACTTGTAGTAAGATACTATTGAAGTCATGTTGACAGACTATGCAATCAAAGGCATTCTGCAGGAGGTGGCCATGAAACATTTGGTGTCAACATTGCCCACCTTGTTGCCCAACATGTTGCCCAACATGTTGCAACTGTTATGACTTGTGTACACCCAGCGAAACAACAACGGAACAACCAGACGTTGATTGTTTGTGCATTTGGATCGTTTCATGCTCTGCCTCTAGTTAGGCTCCTATCATACCTTGCTTGATGTTGCTTGTTGCTGGATCCGGTGTGATGTTTTTGATGACTTATCCTCCTGTAATCAAACATGGCAATGGAACATCCACTATTGATGGATGATTTGACCATTAAAACGAAGGCTTTTGGGTGGATTTTCCATTATCACCTTCGATTACCAGAGGTAAATTTACCACGTGTCACAGCTTTGTGGCCTGAGGGAAAATCCGTGGTGGACGATTTGTTGCACGGGAACCAAGTGTGACCCAAACAGAATGGCTGTTGCCCTGTGGGCCTATGGTAGTGAAGAATCCCTACATCACAAACGGTTGAAACTGGGGCACCACGGCATTCCATGGCTCTTTCTGGAGGGAACTGGCTTCCAGAAGACCATTTCTTTTTTCGATGGGCTCATGTTGGCTGATCCTGTTTTTTGCGCTGTCAATATCATGTGTTGGAGTCCAGATGTCAATGATGTCTTTTCGGATCTGGGTCCTGGTGCTGAAAGGAAACACTGCCAACGGTTCAACCGTGTCAGGCCGCAGGACGAGAAACTCAAACAACAACTCTTGAAGTACACAGCGTGCCACCGGGGCCATGGCTTGAGATGGACATTGGGACATGCTTCCTGTGGTTACCCTCTGGTATTTTAACGTAGCTATTGAAAATGACCATTTATAGTGGATTTTCCCATTAAAAATGGTGATTTTCCATAGTTACGTTAGTTTACCAGAGGGTAGCAAAGTGAACAGACCCCCAAAAATTTCCATCGGCCATGCGTTTGATGATTTAATCATATGAAATCATATGAATTTGATCATTATTAACCAACCATATCATAAATATCATTTGATTAATATTTGGGATCATCATCATATCAAACCATATCATCATTTGATCATAAAACCAACTAATCATATCATTTATTGATGATTAATATGTTTTGATGATTAATCTCTATCATATCAAGAATCATATCCTTGAATCTTCCAGCCGTGCCGATCAGATCCAGCTCAGTTGGGCAAATATAACAGTTTGGGATTTGTCTGATGGGGTATGCCCCCCCAACATGGTCATTTTATTGGACACAAATATACCAATAAATTTAAGGGTACCTTAAAATTTCAGATCAACCCAGGATTCAAGTTAAATTGATTCAAAGATGAGCAAAGATATGCCTGTCAAAACAGGATGGACAGATGGCTTAGGGGTAGGGATGATGCATGAAGTTAATGAAGAAGAGGGATGAACTGGGATGAACAGCCGGGGAATTGGCAAAGACTTGCGCAGATCATTCAGCACAGCGGAACATTATGGGTTCCATTCATTGGCCAAAAGAATATTAGTGGTTTGTCAATGGGATACTCATGGATGCCCCCAAAGTCGGATGAAAATCATCGTTTTCCCATGAAACGGCAGTTTCGGGTCTACCGCGGTCTACGAAAAAACCATCAGGCCACAGCCCCGCTGCGTCTCAACTTTGGCTTTAACTCCTGCAGCAAGACATCAGAAATTAGATTCAACTACTTGAGCCAGAATACTCCTCTTGATTGATTCGAAAAAGGGGGGTTCAACTACCTGGATTTGGGGATTGTTACGGCAAGTTGCGAAACTCGTTGGAATTTGCTCATCAAACATACCCTCTGGTAATTTAACATAGCTATTGAAAATGGTGATTTATAGTGGATTTTCCCATTGAAAATGGTGATTTTCCATAGCTATGTTAGTTTACCAGAGGGTACTGCATTTGCAAATTCCAAGGTAGATACGTTCCCAGGTCGCGGAGATTCCCGGAGTGATGAAGTCACAGCATGTCACAGCGGCCAAAGGTCGTAGCAATTCGTTTGTGTCTAATACTTTGAGGAGCTCACAGAATTTTTCTCTCTCTGTCTACAATGTGTAATTTAGTAATTGATATATATATATATAATGTATTATGTAGACACATGTAGACACATTTGCCTTGATTGGGAAGCTTCATGAGTGGTGGGTGATTTCTAGGTGAATTGTAGATATTCAATCATCGGGTGGCAGAGTATTAAGTCAGAGTTGTTCCCATAAATACTCTCCGGCAATTTCACAGTTTGCGATGGAACATGGCCCACTTATAGAAGATCCAGCAAAAAAAGTGTAACAGTTACCACTTTTCATAGCTATGTTCAGAATCACCTTCCCAGCACTAAAAAACAGCCGGTCATGCCGCCTCCTCCACCGTTGAGCCTACCGAAATCTGCCCCTGCGCCAGTCCATGACCTAGGGCCTGAGAGAACCTGCGCAGTGGACCAATTTGATTCCTGAAACCTGCATAAATGCAATGTTCTGCATCTTTATTTTGCTGGGCTTTTTTTCCCGTTTGTTCCACTCAAAGCATTGTTCTGCAGATCTGCGGTGTTTGGTATTTTTGAATGTGTTGCTGCCACGTTGAAATTGCCATGTGCCTTCTGGTTTATTAGGAGTGTTGAAAAGAGAGACTTTCACACGCAGCCAGTGACATACGCTGCCTCTCAACTAGCTATTGCCAGCGCAACTTTCCATTTTTTTGTGTCTGATTGCATTTTGAATCTTCATTTACAGAGGGACATTTGTTGAAAAATGCGATTTGTTCCTCCAACCACTGCAGATCAAACATCTTAGCTTTGCGAAAGACGACTGAATTCCATTGCGCCTGGCCAAACTACAGTGAAATCATGTGAAATCACAGCTCCGAAAGGAACTTCCAGATGGCCAAATACATGGATGAATTACATATAATTTATACATTTAGGGTTTGTTTGAAGATAGGGTACCACTGTACCACCTTAGGGTAGCACCTTAAATTTGATCGTTAATCGTATTTGGGATATATCCCCCACTCAGGTCAAGGCTGGTGGTGCAGGCGCTGCCATGGTGGTAAAGATGTAAACACCCAGTTTTCAGAGGGATTCTGATGCCTACCATAGGCTTTCGCAGCCATGTTTTTTTTTCGTTCTTTGGGGGTCCAGGGTGATATAATATATATATATAGAGTCCTACATGGTGATAGAATTGATGTTAAACATGTTTTTTTGTGATGATGATTGGGGGTCATAATCCCAAATCTACTAGGCATGATCAGAATCCAGCTGGGAATCACAAGTGACGAAGCGTTATTCGGGAGACTTTTTGGAGATTCTCCAGAAGGCTCTTTTCGCGTTGTTCACTTAGGCCTTAGACTGAACTGGACTGAGTCATACTGAGTCTTTGAGTTGGAGATCACACTTTTGAAATCTGAGTCTTAAACATTCTATAGTTATAATGGATACTAGTTATTATAGTCAAAACCACATTAGCATTGTTTTGGTGCAATGCTCCCTCTCTCTCTCTCTCCAGGCTACGGTTCTGGAGCTCCTGGAGCCCCGGCGGCTCCAAGTACCTTGCTCCAGTCTCAGAGATGGAGCGGCTGGAATTTATATCAACCCCTAAAGATAGAAGAGTATAACAGTATAATACAGTAGATTATAATAGTATTATAATAGATTATAATAGATTATACTAGTATATAATAGTATAATGTACCATTAAGATCCTTTTTTTGTGCAAATCTATCATTGGTTTGAAGATGATATATTCATATATAATCCGATGGAACAGATTGAATATTTACCAGGGGGGTTCACTTCCATTCAGCAATGACGGTCAGTGCCGCTCACTCCCAGGCCCAGTCGACCAGCACCTGCAGCACCAAAAAAGGTGCCGGGTGCTCCTTCTGTGTCTCGGTCAACAGGGAGGTATTTGATGTTGGGAGGGGGATGGGATTGCGATACTAAACAAAACCTACGAAAAGGAAACATACAAGTGAGTATGAATCATGATAATTTCGTAGCATCTCATAGCAAGAAGAGTGAGCAAGCATAAGCAACACATGACTGGTTGGTGGTTTGGAACATGGCTTTTATGACTTTCCATTCAGTTGGGAATGTCATCATCCCAACTGACGAACACTCCATCATTTTTCAGAGGGGTGGCGAAAAACCACCAACCGGATGGTCGACTCGCTAGGAAAAGACCAAAGTTCCGGCACTTTCACATGCGATGGGATGAACATTTACTTGGGAGATAACATCGGATATGTACTAAATGATATTACAATTGATATACCGTCATATCAACTTGTATTATACATATATATATATAGATATACACATAAGATTCCGAAAGTGTCACTGAAAGGTGGCATGGCGGGTTGGTGGGATGGCGAGTTTGAAAACGACCGCCAGCGCGGAGGCCTTGCCCAAAGCGGAGGCAAAAGGCGAAAATGCTGCCGGGACTGATGTAAGCTGCAAAGCCTACGTTTGACCGTGCTGGAAGTCATCTGAAGTTCAGAGGGGGTGGGGGATGTGATCCCTTATGAAGAGAAGTGGAAGCTAATAAACCGTTGAGCATATTTGCTCGGGGTGGGTGGGGTATTTGGCATTCTTTTGAAG